GGCACCATTGGGTGGTAGTTCAACTTCCGCCAGTGGAAATTCTGGATACCGTGAAAGACGTTAGATTGTCCTTCTCCAATCCAGTGGCAGAGGTTTGGGTGGAAATGAGGAAGTTCTAGATGGGGATGAGAACGATCTGCACTCAACTATGGTATCACACAATCCTTCAGTGTTCCATTGGTGGTTGGATTGCATAAAACTGTCGTTCCTATTCTGGTTGATGCCAGAAGAGGCTGAAGGTTTAACTAAAAATAAGATGGACAAAATCGTTTTACAATCGAGTGAATTAATTATAATTATGAAGCGTTGATCCCTGAATTTTACCAGAGGAAATGACTAAATCGTTATTCATCATAATAACTGTGTTTAAGAATATCACAGTGTTAATAAATTATTGCATTCGCTTGCATTATGGCAAATTAAATGACTGAGCGCCAAAATCATTTATAGTCGTTCCTTCGGAATTTAAACTGAAATAATCCGTTAAAATAAAGGGAAAACTCTTCAAAAAAATTACAAAGCAGTAGAATTGATGTTTTTTTAAATTTAGATTAAGACGGAGGATAACTTGCTGTAATTTCTCTTCTCTTTGCAGTCAAAATGGAATAGGCTTGTGTATGTCTTTGACAGTAACTGAGAAAAGAGCGTGAAAAGACAGATGAGGACCTGGAGATAGAGGAGAAAGATGTTGGAGGGCAATGTAAAACACACATAACGAGAAAAGGCACACCCTGGTACAGACGTTCTCTCTTTCCTGAGTTATCGCGAGGTATTCATAAATGGTCCACGGAAAAACAACGAACAAGAGTAAAAACAAGACAACGCGCTTTGTTTTTACCTCTGGCTCTTTTCCCCCGCATGCCTCAGAAACGCGACATTTGTCACTAAAAAAAAAAAAATTCGTACAAAAAGACAAAGTGGAAACTACAGACTCATCCTGCCATTTATTTCTCTATCCGTTTTACCTGCGCTCTATGAGGGCTTTAGATATATCTCTCGAGTCTCGTGACTTGGTGATAATTTTACATCCCCCCGAATTACAACTTGCTTATTCAGCTTGTGTGACTTTAATGTTAAACAATCTAGACTGATTTCTGGTTTTGTTAATATACCCGAGTAAATCGTAACACTATACTCCTTTACTTTGTTTAAACTTGTTCCAGTGGAGGCTGTTACCTCGTTTCCCGCCGACTAAAGTTACTCCCAACTACACTCACTTGGGGGGTCAAGTTTCCCAGCTTTTCTCAACCTCTTTTTTTTTCCAACTCCATCCCTCTACAACCCCTCACCCCCTCGTCTGCTCTCACACTCGAGTTGTCTCAAACCCATTCTCCTTTTTTGTCATTCGTCTTTTACTTTCACCCTCCACTTTCACGATTTTTTAATTTTTTTCTTTTCTCTTCAACCCCCTTCACACCCCTCGTCCATTTTTTTCCTGGATTTAGGGCCCCGCTGAAAGGAAAGAAGCTCTAGAGCACTTAAGCGATTAGTATGTACAGAGGGATGTGGAGATGGCACATGAGAAAATAACTTAATAGTTTTTCGTTCAGAAAAAATTATTTCAGGATCTATACCCCTAAATAAATCAATTTCTCTGTTTTTCCAAAGATTTTTTAATTTATGGGAGAGAAGGAAATGCTTGTTATTACAAAATTACTCATCATAAAAATTATCAAATGATGCAAAAGCCGGAAATAATTTTAAAAATAATTTCTCTTCGATAAATGGAAAAAAAATGGAAAAAAATGGAAAAAAATGAAAAAAAAATGGAAAAAAATGATTGGAATGGAGAGTAGAAATGGAAATAATAGAATGGCAAATGGAATAGAAGACGGAGAAGTTTCTTACGGGGAAAAAATAGTGCTAGAAATGTATCAGGGTGATTCAGATGAACTGAGTTCGCGTCGGGGGAAATAGAGGGAAAGAAAATGAAGGGTAGTTTGTAAATGGGTGTGTACGTGTGGAACGTTTAAGCGGCACGCGCCCCCCATCCTGCACCACCACCGGAATAAATAAAACTCAAAGCAAACGCGCCCCACGGACTTTCTTATTCCGACTGCGATGCGATCTCTGGTAATATTCTCCGATGAAGATACTTGCCTTTTTTTTTTCAACATGATGGGTTTACTCTACTCCGTAGCATGGATGTTACCTAATGGAAAATGTTGCGACTGAATATGCCAGAGGGTCATTGAAATATCAATATCGTTACTCTAATGCCTTAGAAATGGCAAGAATATATCTGGAGAAATATTCCGAGAGAAATATTACTATCCCCCAGTGTCCCATGCCAATTGCAACCAAATAAATCCATAATAAATAATAGGATTGAAAAAAAAAATACAGAAAAGGCAGAGAAATGAAAAGGAAATGAAATAACATGGAGTGATGTCTTTTTTTTTTTTTTTGTAAATTTTATAGAATTTTTCTCTTCAGGCATTCCTTGTTTTATCTCTCCCTGCACTTCCGCTTCAGCTGAGATTTATGGGGATGGGGGGAGGAAAATAAAATTGAGGGATATCTTGAGGGACATTTTCACGGGGGCCACTCAATCCCACTGTCCGACTATTATTTGTATGTAACGTACGTGAAAATGCTTTTGAGAATTCACTTCAGCCCGATCCCAGAGCAATTTCCGGCGCGTCTGTCTCTCGTGATTCATAAAAATTCTGAGAGTCGCATCAAAATCCAGCCCAGACACGCATCCAAACAGCTAGGTTTTCGGGTATAAACGAAATGCTGAGTCACGAGAACTGCAGATGTTCTTATCCGAGTGAATAATGCAGTTGTTATACATGGATTCTCGCAGAATCAGCTGGTGATGTCTTATTGCCATTTCGAATTTTCATACTGCACCGTTTGAAATTTTCCCGAATTTTCCCATCAGAAATTATTACTTAGACTAGAGATGACTGAGATATTGTTACTTTTGTGGTGCTACTACATGAATTTTCATTTCATTCGGATTCAGACTCTCAGCTAGAATCAGAGAGATTATAAAATGAAAATATTCCTCTATTTTAGAATAAAAATAAAATAAATATATATAAATATACATATATATATCGAATAAACCGTCTTCAAAAAAACGTTACATCCGATTTTTTTTTAAGGGATCACTATTAAAAATTCATAAAAATTTAATTTAATTCATCATCTATTCATTTCATAATAATAGTTAATTAATTTAATTAATGAAGAATTATCGAGTGACGTTTCCTTCCCCTTTTTCCTGTCTAAAATATTATTGCTGGCGACAACCAACGGATTGATATCCAATAGGTTTGATAGAATCCCGCGATTGAAATCCAAATCCACTCGAGAATTTCATAACATTGTACTCGTCGTGGGGTAATTTCCCCTGCTTTGAGGATAAACTTGCGATAGAAGATGCAAACACTCTGAAATATCCCCAAAATAATCAACACCAAAAATGACCGGTGGATTACCCCGAATTAAATGACCCCAAACATAATGCTCATAAAATAATTACCCCCCACCCCCGATAACTAAAGAAGATTAACATTTTCAGCCACGAAAGCCACAGCTTTTCAGAAATGAATACCACCTCCCCACCACCAGAATCACTGTGTAAAATTCGTGTGAACCACGCGGATGTATTGGTTAACCAGCACCAATATACGTAAAACAAAATAGCGGTTGGTAAAATAATTTGTCACCGTTGGCCCCTCGTAACTCTGAAATTTCGATTAGAATTCGTACTTGTGTGAGATTATCCGAGGGTAAAGAGGGGAGTAACCCAGTCAAAATACAGATCCACAATTTAACCGTTGGAAAATGTTTAGGATGTATACAGTTATATTAAAACGTATGAAAAGACGTTTTGCTTTGCATCGCGTGACATTTGGCTGGGGCGATTTCGGCCCGACTGGAATATTGCATGAAATATTCAACGTTTCTCCGAGGCACTATCCGTACACCAAACTACTCTCTGTACTTGGGCTTTCGTGCTTTTACTCATCCATGTATTGGTGGGTGATAGTGAAATGAGTAAAGCGGGGTGTATAACTGTCGTCTGAGTAACTGTCGCTACAGTTGCGTATATAATCGGTGAATGGGAAACAATCAGGGAAGCTACGTCAGATGGGACATCATCACGTGAATGGCCGACGTAAAAGACAGTTTCATTCCCTTATGCATGCAGTTTCCCATCTCTCCATTGGTTTTAACGTCAATGTATTATATTTATCGAGAATGGCCAATTCGAAAAGATTCATTCCACTAAAATTACCAATACCTTATGTTTTTTTATTTAATTCAATTCAATTGATAAATACTATATTTTTTTTTATTCCAGATAAATCATTGTTTTAGTGAATGTGATATGGATAGCTTTGGTATCCGCTTTTTTTTTTTTTTAGGAAGAGTGAATCGGGAAAAATTCACTTGCTATTCAGAAAAAATCAGACCTATTTTATTTATATATTTTTTACTGGATATATATATGTTATTGAATATCTAATAATAATTTTCTTGTATAATTTTGGAATGCATGACTGCCATAGAATTTCACATCAGTTCTCTGGAATTAGAAAACTTTTTTTGGTAATTCAACGGTAAAGTGACAGTCGAGAATTTCCATTAGGTAAATGACAGATTAAAGTCCAGAGTGGGCGGTATCGATAATTCAAGGGAAATGCCAGTCTTAATTATTATAGCTTGAAGCATTCGGATGAGTCCAAGACAACCTCTCGGGAATAATTCATGCATTTTAATTATTGTTTTTGGTAAAATAAGTTGAAAGTACTTACCAATTAACGAGGATAGAATAACTGGAGTTGAAAAAGCGATGGAGATGAAATTAATTGACTCTCAAATGGAGAATGCACTCGAATATTTCTCCTCGAGGGAGTTCACGATAATTCATCAACTTCAGTAAATTCCGAAGAGCCAGAGCTCAAATGACCCAACATTAAAGGAGAGGTGAAGTCTTGAAGAAGAATACTCCGAGTTGTACAAATTGATCATATAATTTTTTTATTTATCAAGAAATTACGCATGGTTCATAGTAATTGGATGACACTGAGAGCGACAGAATTCTGCGTCGCAAGCTGCATTCAAAATGGCCATTTACTTCTTACGTTTTTTCATAGAAAAATTCAACATAATCGTTTACATTCTCTCTAACTTCATCTAAATATCAAACACAATAGTAACAGATATTACAAATGTATTAAAGTACTCCAAAGGATTGAATTTACACATACGATTACTGCACCCAAAAAAAAGACCACTCATTCAAATCCAATAATCCAAAATTTTCACTTTCATTTTCCAAGAAAAATAACTCAATCAGTCTAATCAAATCACTCACTGAATCGTTCGATTCATCTTAATTTTCGTGCCTCAAACAGAAAAGGTTAATAGAACAGATAAATTTATGCAGAACAATTAGAGATAATTTATTTATTTGATTGGAATAAATAGTTCTTCTGGGTGTGTTCATTGCATTTGATACTTTCTGGATAGCAGATCGCCATTGAAACGTGCGCTTCATTACGCTATCATAATCACCCAAAAGCCCTTTTGCTGGCTTCACGTGGGATTTACATGGCTTTGATGCTGCAATTGTCGCTTGTAACGAGATAGCTCAATGACATTGTCATCATTATCATCCAGACAAAAAAATATGCATTGAAATATCTTGAAAAGGATCAACAAGCCATCAATCCATCGACATTTCTCCCACACAAACCCTTCCATTTTCCTCTCACCCCTTCCATTTGATTGATCTTGTTAAATTATTATTATTATCGGGTCAAACTGAGGGTCATGCATCTAAACCCAATGGATATCACAAGAACCGAAACAATGATAATTCTTTATCAATTTATTTATCAGCTAAACTAATCGAATCTCACCCGCTGCACACCAATCAATTTCATAATCACCATTACAATTTAATTACCTCCATTTTTGACACAACCCGAGTAATCAGCAGGGATACCGTGAGCGGGAAAAACACTGACACAACAACAGCAATGGCGACGAATTTCACCTCATTCAAATTTTTCAAATTTCTCTCACTCTCTCTTTCTCTCGCATTCCCTCATAATCAATTTCCCACTCAGATTGGTGTTAAAAAATGTACACATTATATATCGACGATTAAAATCAATGCTCACCGAACTCGGCCAATTCCCCATGGTCATTAAAGTTGAATGATTTAATTATAAATACCACCACTTTAATCTCACCCTCTCACCTCCTTTGACTGGCCAACACCTCGAAGATTAAAGTAAAAAAGTTGATCTCCCGAGGATAAAAACTAGCCCCATTAATGAAGTTTTGATCAATAATTCGAAGAGCGTATCACACAGCTGAAGATATATATATATATTTAGAATTTTCGTTAAACTGTTATCCTCCTCTACCTCATTAACACTGAATAAAGTCAATCAAAAGATTTTCCATCGTTACCTAGAAAGTATAAAACTGATAAAGCAAAAAATCATTTGACCAATTTAATGTAACAAGCACCAACATTTATTTTATACCAACGAAAAGATAACTGTGGGTCTGTGTTGCCACCTATCGATCTCGTCACATCCATAGCTTTATGTCTTTCATCAAAGCCAAAACGAGGATAGATAAGGGGCTTTGTTAACGGTATAGTGAGGATGGGCAGGAAGAATGGTGATGATAGAGGCGGGTTTTGTATGATGATTACACGTGGAAATGATCCCTCCATAGTCTACCGGCTGAGAAGTAGACAACCGAGTGCAGCAACTACATGTAGGGCAATGTAGATACGTGACGTTGGTGAGCATCCCTTAGCAAGGGCGTATGCATTCAACGATATACAATCGCTGTATGAGCCTGGGTTGACACACGTCACTGAGCACCAGTGCTGGTGTGCACAAGTACCACTCAGTGCACCACCGCATCCAGTGCGATGAGCAACTTCACGGGGTAGAAATACTGTATTTGCTGCGTAGTACCTGTAATATTATCCCCGTGATGGTTCAGAGTTGAGAGGGATGTACGTGACTTTGTGGAAATATTCTTTGGGTTTAAAGAAATCAGGACAAAAGGAGGGAATCAGGTTTGACGGTGAAATTTGGATGAAAATCATGGGACTGACCTGAATGAATCGGGCCGAGTCTAGGTTTTGGGAGCTAGGTTACCGGGAGTGACCCGGGTTAGGATTGAGGGTGAGTAAAGGGAGTTTTACCTGGTGAAAGCGTTGTCGTTGGTCTTTACGAATCTCCGAGCGAGATCGTGAAGATTTTTTGGGCTAACCTCTTTAAGCTCGTAATAGGACAGCAGAGAATACTGCTCCTGCCAGTTCGCTCGACCCTTTGCGTTGGCCTCCTGCAGGTCCAAATACCACTGGGTATAATCTAATATCTGGGGATTAATCAAATGAACGAGGCATTTAGATACACCGAAAATTCTCAATATACAAGAGAGACTTGTCATCGATTTTCGATAACAAGCGCGGGAATTTGCTATCGCTAAAAACAACGAGCAAACTCACTCAGCGAAATCAAATAATGGTACGAGGCAACAAAGGGGGCATTCAACCAACTTTTTCGAGTGTTACTATTTTGTGTTTCGTAAGCCTTCGCACATGAATATTTTACAGGAGGGCGTAAGTATGAACAATAACGGTAGAATGGGCTCATCAATTTCTGGACAATGTGGTGGAATGACGGAGAAAGAAAATTTTGTGGCTGACAAAATTTGACCTACCTTTCCCGAGCTAGTTTCAAACTTGTATAATCTCAGTCCTGGATTATTGGGGAAGTTGGGCCTGCCCGGTGTGATACTCGGCGCCATCATGATCCACGAAACGGGCACTCCTGTTGACGTAACAAAAACATTTTAAATGAAACAAAAACAGGGGTAAAAAAAACACGAGTACAAACGGTTGAATTCTTCCAGTGGTTACCAGGTCGTATGGAGCATGAAAGTGAAACAATAAACCAGAAGGTAGAACAAAAAAATAACTGGTAAAAATGAAATACTGCGGTGTTTAAAGTTGTAACATCACGAATGATGGAATACAAAATGGATGGAAAAGCTGAAATGTTGAAAAAAGTGGAATGAAAAAAACGCCAGACCGATGTGACTGCGCGGTCCCGAGAGATGAGTATCGTGCATTTGGTTTTAACACCGGAACTTCAATCGAAATTTTGTTTGGATGTCTTCACACTTCGGGAACAAAATGTGGGGAATTTCATAACAAACAGATACGTTTTTAACTCATGCTAATCCACTCTACAGATCCTGAGATATTGGCGTTCATCGCAGAAGCTGAAGACGTTCAATTTGCGAGAGGGTCAGCGAAGTGGAGGGCGTTGCACATAAACGCTCATATCTCAAGAAATATTACCCGTAGAGACTCCAGTGAAGATCGATTATTTTCCCTATGAAATTCCCTACAATTTGTCCCAATGATGTCTCGACGAGCTACCAATAGTTTTCGAAATATTTGAATTATTGTCATCAGTCAAATTAGTCAGCGAACAGTGCACCAAAATCTTCGCTGTATCAATTATTTTGAACAGAATTGAATGAAATAATGAACATACCTTCATCATAAATAGTCCGAAAGGTGTCGGAATGCCAGTGCCCGTAGAATTGTCCACCAATAATGCTAGCATAACGTCGTACAAGCTGTATGTAACGCTTGTTGTGAGAATCCTGAAGGAGACTAGCACCGCTCGCCCTTTCGTCAACACCCGGCGGTGTATGACCAACAATGTACACCTGCACACAAGCATCATATATACATTGACTGGTGTATATGCCGGCATTTCGCGAGTGGAAACTTCCGATTATATACGTCCTGTTGAACCATCCGAGCTACGAGAGTTTGCACTCGGTCGCTGCAGTTTCACTTGCCCCCTTTCTCCTTCTCATCGTCCGATGATCAATTTCCATTACACGCGTAATTTGCTCGGGATATAAGGTGTCAGAGTTGTTGGAGGAGTGAGAGAAAAGGTTGCACAGTGGGTAGACCCCTGAAGTTGGATGAATTGGTGGTAGGTAAGTGTGGACGGACAGACAGCAGCTGGAATAACCGAGTGATGGGGCGAGTATTCAGAGAGTTAAAACGATGGTAATGGAGAGAATCTGGATCTGCTCTTTGTACTCATTACTTCTGTATTAGTTCACCTGCACATGCACCGCGGAAGAGTGAATATCGCTGTAGCGGGATTAGCTTTCATTAAGCTGGAGGAGTTGATGCGGAATGAGAGTCAATCAACAAGATTCGATTAAAAATTGATCCCATGTGCTATTACTGAAATAGACAATGAAAATTATCGAATCACTTTGCAACCGACTAACCCCGAATCTTCAATCCTAATAGCTCATCCCAAATTCACAATAAGTCCATTCCCCTTGATATTCAATTATTGACAACGTCTAGACAGTTGTCTATTCTTGATCTCATCGAATACACGAGACGATTCCGGGTAACTAGGTTGACAGATATTTTTGCAACTTCAACGCCACGAGAATAATGAGCACGACGTGAAAATTTTAACGGGAAAATCATGTGACCGAGGAATTACTCGTCACTTTGAGTTTTAAAAGTCGTCAGATGCCAGGGATTCTGTATAAATCCCACCCTCCAACTCATCGACCCTTCACTCAAAATCCCACCCCCTTGGAGCCAAGCCGAACAAGACGGATGGGCACTTCGCCACCCAGAATAAGAACCTACGCCCTCGTTTCGAATTAAAGGGAATTACGGGGGCACTGGGTGCCTATGTTCAGCTGTCACGCGCGACCGTAGAATATTCCTCATTGCCCACCTCCTCTGTACCCTCTTGGGTGATGGTGGTGCTCTTAACATTGCCCCTGAATCCATTTAATCGACGAGCCAAAAACCCCGCCCAGATTTCCTAACAGCTTTTGCTCTTCACTTCATCCTCACCGCATACTATCATGCAATATCATTGTCATGTGCTGGGCGAAGGTAGAGAGGGGGCAAAGGAATTAATGGAAATGGGGGATTCCCCTGGATGGTGCCACCGGTCACGCCAGTATTTCCGCTCTTTTTTAAACGTTCTTTTTTTTTGTGCTAATTGATATGGACAAATGGTCTCGATAATTGATGGGATTTTTCAAAGTGATATTTCAGGGGAGTAATTGGATCAATTAATGGGGAATTACCGAGGGGAAAAATAGTGTTTTGCGGGGAAGACAATGTTTATGGAGCGAGAAATTGGGGTGGGAGGACAATCAAATTTAATTGACGGAATTCCGTGCGTTTGATTGGTTGACAATGACTTTGGAGAGCAATTAAACTATGAATTGCTGGGAAGTTGTTCTATTTCATGGAAAATATTTATCTATTCAATATTAATTCGGGGAGGTTGTGTCATTAATATTTTATCAATTAATAGAGAATCAAAGGATAATGGTTTAGCTGACGAAACAGATTGGATCGCAATATCTCGATAATCCCTCATCCCTCTGAATCATCCGATGACACCAGCACTTTCTCATTCAGCCAGTGGTCCAATGGTCCAATCCCGATACTTTATTGGTTTCGAATTTTTCAAATATAGAAAGTCGGTAAATCTGAGAGCAGATTGTAAGGATTTCGGGGATTACGAGTGTTCCCCCGGGATTTGTAAGCTCCAGTCCAGTTGAAAGATGTTACTGGTCCACCCTCTGGTTTATTTTTTATATATATTGCACACTATATTTTTATGTGAATTTCAACGTTATTAAACGGCTATGAACATTTTTACGACGCCAATGGGGTCCTCTATTTTTCATACTACGAGACACGGAAATTTTTTAAATTTTTTCCACGGAACAAACACCGCGTCCCAACGGGCGAGCTTTATTACGAATACGGGGGGGGATATTAAATTAGTCGGGGAATGGTTCTTTGTCGGATGGAACGGAGATAACAGCCGTAATCGTCTTAAAAATGTCACTGCACTGCCTTCAATACGGAAAAATGTATTTATCTTTCTTATTAGGGGAGAATGGCGGTTCAGTGATGGAAATGTGATGCGCCTGTTTGAACTTAAAATTTAAAAAACTCAGACAAGTTGCGCATGAACGCGCCAGAGGACGAGAAATTCCGTATCACGAAATATTTTTTCCAGAAGTCTGTCATGTAGCATTTTAAAAAATCGGTAATCGATATCCGAGTCCAGACTAAAATCAATTGTGAATAAAAATTCTGGTAATTCAGGGAAAACTCGATTTGAATTGTAAAATTGAATCATTGCTCTACTTTCAATACGTCAATTATTCCCGAGGAAGACTTGAATGTTTGAAAAGTCGCTAATCCTTCAGGACCCTGACAATTCAAACAGGATGACATTTCCAGGGAGTCACCCCTGAAAAGAGGGTGATAGAATATTTACGGGATGAAACACTCGCGCCAATCTCTCCACTGGATTTTTTAATGGAAAAAAAAAAACTCGGGTAATACAATTAAGCACAGTCGTTAATTAGAATCTGGAAAGTTTGCACTGCGTGCTGAAATCCGAAATAATAATATTTAACTCTTGAAATCGCATAATTCTCGCGTGAGATACCTAATTGGAATGGTTGGCGAGACAAAAGCGGGGATAAACGTTATTGTGAATTTTCTGGATGAAAAATGGAAGGACACAGAGGAGAAAACTCCATTTTCGGAAAGTGATACTTCATTTTTACGAATTAAACTTTTTAAAAGGTATCTTCAGGTGCTGTTAAATTTTTAACATTATTATTCAACTCCAGGATTGAAGAATCGTTAAGAATAAAACGATTTTCCTGATAATTTTTATAGCTGAATCACGTAATTACTGTTTTTAACTGGAGTCACCAGCTGGAGCCGATGAAACGATTCATAATCACGAATTTTTCAGGTGCAGGTGTAATCAATCACATTTAACGATTCACCGTTGAGCTCGAAAGGATCATGAAATGCCAACATTATTCATATTTTCCACGCAAAAATCGCATAATCTCCGGCTGAGATAACAAATTGAAATACCCAGACAAGACAAAAGCGGGAATAAACGCAATTGTGAAGTAGATAAATCAACTTATCCAATGGAAAAGAGTAAAATCTCAACGTAGAGATGAGAGTGAGCTTAACGTTACCGACAGAGAGGTGAATAGTTGGAGTGAAAAAAACCTGCTGACTTGGGTAATCGAAACTGAAGGGTTTTTCTTTTTTTTTTTTACTTTGGCCCGTAGGTACAAGGAAATCCCAGGGAAAAATGCTGGAGTGAGACGATAGTGGTACACTGGGGAGAAAGAATGAGATTGGCCAAACTCACTTTTTCCTTTTTATCCTTTGCCGCACGTAGAATTTTTTCAAACCAGCTCCACTGATTGTGCGGGTCATCCATGTTGTCATTCCCTGTTGCTGCACCTGTGCGCTGGTTCTGGTGATGGTGAGAGACACGATTGTCAACACCTGGGGCTGTGTTCAACCACAGATTTGTGTTCAGGGATATTATTCGGTATTTTTGAGATTTCTGTTCAATTGTGTAGTATCCAGCTGAAAATATAGAGACCATTCATTCGTTCAGAGACAATTACTATTTTAATTCAATCGTTTTATGTTTTTTATTATTTATAAATATATTTAGAGAAATTTTTAGTCACAATTTTTTATAAAACGAGATGTCCACGACGTCATGGTTTTCTTTATCATTTTTGTGTTAGGACTAGGATAGAGAGAACAATTAAATTATTCACTGAACTAAAAGAAAAGTGAAATTACCGCGAGTACTGAGTAATCATCATGCAATCAGCGTAATAAACCGTAATAATTTCAACAAATTGAATTACTCAAGTCGCAGAACGACGTGGTAATACAAAGAATGAATAATAATGGGCATGATTACCCCTCAATCATCTGAAATGAGTGACCGCAAAGATCCCAGTAATCAAATGACCCCACAAAAGTGTAAAATCAGTTAAAGAAAGACATTAATTCATAAATCCCTCATTATTGCTTCCTGAATAACTTCTAAACAACAGTCGCGTGACTGAACATCTAGAGCTGGCTCTAATTTTCTCACCGGTCTTTTATTCATAAACTCATGCTTCACGCGAAGTTGAAGAAAAAAAAAATCAGTGAAAAGATCCAACTTATCAAATATTAAAGTTGTGAGATTTAGAGAATAGAGCGTGTTCCACCGTAAGTCCTCATTTTCAGTTATACCTGCACCGACATATTTTTTCAGGGTGGAAAAAAGTTTTCTGTGCGTTACACACCGGGAGAAAGAGGGTGGAAGGAAACTTGTGGATTTATGCATCGAAAATTAAGTCCTCGGGCCCTTTTTCTCCTCTAGCTCCATTTTTTTTTTTTGTTCTAGAGTGAATGTACACTCGACGGAGGCGAATTCCACGGCGAGGAGAAATATTCAGGAAAAATTACGGGATAATTCATTTAATCGATTGGGTGACTCGACATTTTAACGAGAAATATTACATTTTGTTCTAGGAAGGAGTAACATAGATATTAAATTGATACAGGTCTTGTTTATTTTTGGTTTATTACTGGGAAATTGAGAAATTTTCCTGGATTTTCAATGAAATTTCAATATCCTGTACATTTAGGTTAATGAAAAATTAATTGAATATCTAATAATCGTAATGAGGTTAGTGAAATATTATGATAATTGTTATTCAAATTATCGAGATGAATCGAATTTGGAATTTTTCGATTTTCGTTCATTTTCTGGGTGTACGAGATAAATAAAATTTCTTCGATTTATTAATTACACCTGCAATTACTCCGATGGAAAAAATTCTCGAATGACAATTTCTCCAGAATTCCATAATTTCTCTCCAGTAATTTTCATAAACTATTCTCCACCGTGCAGAATCTAAAACGATTACAAAAAGAAAAGAGTACATGGCAGGCAAAAAGAAGACAAAAAAATGATGATGAGAAAATGACGAAAAAGGAATTATAGTGTACCACCGAGGTGGAGGATTCGTGCTAGGAAAAGCAGAATGACTGGCATGTAAAAAGGGTGGAAAAAGAAAAGAATAAAAAAGAGGGGAAAAATGTGGAAAAAGGTGGAAAAAAAAATAATGAAGAGAATGGGAGAAAAAGAAAATGCACGTGGGCTTGAAGACGGGGTGGTAAAATTTTTTAGCGCTTTGGTTTTCACTGGGCCATACACTACCAACATTTTTCAAAGGTTTGAAGAGCCTCGCTGGGGAGCCAGTGCTTCCAGAAAATCGCCTGCTGGCTGTAGTTCAAACCGAGGTCCTCATGTCCCAAAGCCGGAAACACAAATTGGCTCGAGAATGTGTGGGACAATAGGTCTGTAAGATTCTTCATAGACTGCAGACGCAATTCCTCGCTCATTTCGCTGTTGTGACTCACAGCGTCTCTAGAATGGAACAGAGAAATCATAATGGTTATTTCATGATCGGGTAAAGTGGTTGTTTGGAAGACTGTGTAATGAGGGTAATGAGGGCTTCGTTTGAAGTTTTCGGGTGAGTCTCGTCAGCGGAAGTCATTGAAATAGTTAATTGGGGCTGATCGTAACTTCGAATGCCTGTTGCTCGATATTTCCATCGGCCCAATTAATGTGATACTTCTTGCTAATTTTTCCAATTAAAATTCTTACGGTAATTCGCTATGAAAACATCGCAGTCAATCAAGTTCGTGTAATTGAAACTATTTTTTAATTAACAACCTTGTGGTATTCTTTTTATTTTTGCGACTGCTATGTTTAAATTGTCAATTATCGTTGGTAAATTCATTTTTATTATTTTCAAATCAATCTTTTGTAAACGAGATATCGAAATTTTTCATTTATCTCGAAAAATAAAGAAAATTGCGGTTTTCATTTTAAATTACGAATTATCTTTTCATTTTCATTTTTATTTTTATTATTTTCAAATTAATCTTTTGTAAATGAGCTATCGAAATTTTTCATTTATCACGAAAATTAAAGAAAATTGGGGTTTTCATTTTAAATTACGAATTATCTTTTCATTTTCATTTTTATTTTTATTATTTTCAAATTAATCTTTTGTAAATGAGCAATCGAAATTTTTCATTTATCACGAAAATTAAAGAAAATTGGGGTTTTCATTTTAAATTACGAATTATCTTTTAAATATTACGAATTATCTTAAATTACGAATTATATTTTCAATAAATCACCACCACACACAATTACAATTCCAATAGATTAAAAATCCGGGGAAATTATTCCCCGAATTTTCCCTGAACCTAAAAATTTACAATTCCCAAAATATTCAAGAAATTGAATTAATTCATCAACAAGAAATTCCGCGTAAATTTTTAAATTGACACTTGATATGTTAACCTCGTGAATTGAGCCCCTCAAAATGGCGAGTGCAGAACGGGATAAATTCCAAGTTATTCAGCGATTTGAAGCCGTCAAGTGTAATTTTGAAATATCGGGTTTAATACCGCATTGAAAACCCGAGATAATCGGAATACCGAGATAAACCGGATATTCATCACGAATCGCAAGTGCAGAAACGACTTCCGGATAACGCGGTGGTCCGTAATGGCTGATGGTTTCAAGGCAGTATGTACACATTATCAACAACATGCCAACGCATCCGCAACTAATAATTGGGAGATAGTCGGACATTGTTGAATTTTCATCCTAACCAATGTACATTTCCCCGCACACGTCCTCTTCACACCTCACATTATTAATACAACGTAACATACACACATCCAGATGCATTATGTTCACAAGTTTCGGGTGAACACGAACGAGGCAATTCCATGGGCTTCAACCCCTCACTCATTTTCCAATCTGCATGCAAGGCTTTTCCTGGGGTGACACAACTCATACATTTATTTTCCCCGAAAACGCTTGTACACCCGCGCATTCCGGATTTAACCGTCGTCAAAGCTTTTTCAACCCCTCAACATCAGCTTTCATCGGTGGCACTAGTTTTTTAACCCTTGTATGCACCATTAGGACCCTCTTTGATCCCCTCGTCGGTCTCGTTTCAGATCCTCGAAAAACATTCACGTTGACCCTATGATAAATTCATGGAGATTTCGTTAAACTGTAAACCAATTTCTGGCCAAAGTTCCACTGACTCGGACTCACCGACGAATTTTACAGTCTGACATGGTTGATATAATTCGATTGGGCTAGGGGTCGTTCTCAGGTCGACGCTGTACCTCACGTCCCGTGTAAAAAACAATTGTAATCGGAATATTTTTTACAAATTTTTCCAAAAATTTCTGCAAAACTTTTTAGAAAATTAAAAAAAAAATTTGGATAGGAAAATTTTTTTGTCATTTAGATGGCGTTTTTTTTGAGAATATTGAAAAATCAAAGAAGTAAGAGAACAAGAGTATAATTAAAAGGAAAAATTATATTCTCAAAAATTTCTAGAAAATTATAAAACTAAATTTTCGAAAGAAATTTTTGGAAAATTTTTCAAAACATTTCCCTAAAATCCAATTGTTCTGTTTTCCGATTTCTTTTGTTTTGAAAGAAAATTTTGGAAAAAATATATTGATTACAATTTTTTTTACCCCGGGGTACAAGAAGAATTTTTTTTTCAATTTACCCCCCATTTTTCGCATTTCTTTGGATTTTTTCATCGGTCTAAAAAAAGATTTTTATCTACAAAAATATAATATATATCATATTAACATATATTTATTTTTATAATTTTATAATCTTTTCCGAAGTTTGAAGAAAAAAATTCTTTCCAATTTTGACATTACACTTTTACCCGAATAATTTATTATCAACAATTTTTCCCCCTAAAAATCCGAATGGAAAAAATCAATTTATTATGTACACCTATATGTAGTGAATTCCAGAAATTTAATAAAACAATTTTCAAAAAAATGTTTTGAACTTGCGGAAAACTGCGGAATTTTCAATTTCCTCTATAAAAAAAGGACTCACCCTGTCCAGAGGACAAATTCCGCTCCCTCTTCGGGTTGATTCGATTTCATGGCGAGTACTGCTGATTCTATCAGTGCCCAGGGTGAGTCGCAGGTGTAGTTGCCAAAAATACCAGCAACTCTTCTCGCCGGTCTTATCCCACCGCTGTCAATATCCGTCCTGATATTCCAACACACTGCAATAAAAAAAAAATTCAATCGCCGTTTTTTTTTTATCGTCTGTCGGATCGACAACACAAATGACCTAATCAACGGTAATCGGATTGAATCCATGACTTGTTCATCAGAGAATGGATTACCCTGATGAAGCGATCGAATTACAGAGCCTATTCGAGCGTTTTGATATGCACGTAATCACTCCACAAAAGGAATAATTTGTGAAACACGGATGGAAATCCCTGGGAAATAAAAAAATATACTGGAAAAAAATGGGAGGGCTGAGCTTTTGAGTTGGTGGTGAAGAGTTGTATGGAATCGTGGGTTCTTCGGGGTTGAGATAAGTGGGTCGCAAGACCTTCGGTACTTCAGCTGCAACTCCCTGCACTCCTTTATACACATTATTTTTAATTTTTTTTTTCACCTTCTGGTTTCATTTCTTTCGTTCTCGGTGGAATGACTTCGAGGGGCTCCACTTAATCACGGGAAAATGAAGAAAAAATGGCGGGTGTATCAGACTATTTTATACTGGTAGAAATCCTGAACACGAGTTCGTATAAATGAAAGAACTCCTCATTAAAGAAATTTAATTTAATGTACTATCTGTGCATAAACACTTGTTTTTACTTTCGTAATTAATCATTACTGTATACCCGGGTAAAAAAAAAATTTTATCTGAATAATTTTTCTGGATTTTCAAAACATTTTTGGAAAACTTTTCGGAAAATTTTTATTTTGACAGAAAAAAAAGTTGGGAAATAAAACAATTTTATTTTTGGGAAACGTTTTGAAAAATTTTTCAAATATTCGGTTCGGAAATTTTTTTTTGTAATTTTCTAGAAATTTTTGCGAATATCATTTTTTCTTTTAATTGTACATTTGTTTTCTTACTTTTTTCATTTTTTAATATTCTCGAAAAATACGCCATTATAAAAAAAATGCTCTTATTCAAATTTTTGAAAAATGTTTCAAAAGCCTTCTCAAAAATAAAATTATTTCGTTTTCCAATAATTTTTTTGTTTCAAAAGAAAAATTTCCCGAAAAATTTTCCAGAAATGTTTTGAAAATTTGGAAATAAATTAATAAATTAATAAGATTTTTTAATGTATCAATGAATTCAAATAAAAAAACAAAATAAATAAATAAATAAAATAAATGAATTAATTATTCATTTTTCAAAATCATAAATAATTTTTCCGGTACTTTATGAAATTTAATCTGCTGTCCCATTTTATAATTTTTAATGTTATGATTGTTAATAATTATACAATTATTATTTCTGGGAGTGTCTGGAAATGCAGTGGAAAAATTTAGTCCCCGGATTTACAGGGGTTTTCTGATAAAAATTCGTGGATTGTCGTTTATACAAGATTACTATCTATTAGGGTAATTTAAAAAATGAATTTCCCTCAGTGAAGTAAACAGGACTAGTCACGAAATGTCGGAGGGGCATTAATGGCGGAGAGAAGAAGCTGGTAATGGTACAGGGGAGGGAAATTGTTTTATATGGAGCGAACAAAGTGAGACTTACTGCTGTCTGTGTTACCCGGGGACGAATATTTCGGGTCGTAATGAATGTCCGTAATGTGCCAGAAATAACCTGCAACATAAAAAGGATTTTTATGAGTTTTTTTCATGATGGGCGTCAGCTTTTTTGAAAATTACTATTTCTGATCTCACGGAGATACGAGTCGGGGGAATAATTCAAGATAATTTTCGGTACGACTTCATGATTTAGTGACTCGGGTAAAAAAAAAATTGCAATTGGAATATTTTTTTCAAGTTTTCAACAAATTTCTGGATAATTTTTGAGGAAATTTCTCTTTTAAAAAAAAACTCGGGAAAAGAAAGAATTGTATTTTTGGGAAATGTTTTGAAAAATTTTTCAAAAATTTGTTTCGGAAAATTTTTTGTAATTTTCTCAAAATTTTTGCGAATATATATATATATATTTTTATTATACTGTTGTTTTCCTACTTTTTTGATTTTTCAATATTCTCAAAAAAAACGCCATCTAAATTATAAAAAAAAAATTTCTATTCAAATTTTTGAAAAATTTTTCAAATCCTTTCCAAAAACTAAAATTCTTTTGGTTTTCGATTTTTTTTTGTTTCAAAAAACCAATTTTTTGAAAAGTTTTCCAGAGAATTTTTGGAAAATCTGGAAAAAATATTCCAATTACAATTTTTTTTACCCGGGTATTCAAAATAAGAATTATTGAAACAAAAAAGTTGATTAAATATCGACTCTTCAATTCCTCCAATTTATCACGAACCGTAAAAACCCTAAAAAACGAATGACTTGAAGTGCGGCCTCGAGCCATTTCGTGCAACATTAGAACTCATTTTGATCGCAAGCCAAAGATAATAAAAAAAACGAAAGAACCAACGAAAGTAACAGGCCATGGGGTTATTTATTGCTTTCGCAACTATCAATTCCAGGTTATGGCGTGCTGTACGTCGCGTACACATAATATCACGATGGTCGTTACTTTCACGCTCGTCCAAGTTCACGAAACTTTTTGCACCATTTTTTTTCCCTCGCTACAAGTTTTATATAGATCAGTTTTAGAACTCGAATTAGAAGAGGTTTCAGCAGAGGTTGAACCATTTTTTTTTTACTTTCCGCTCTGGTTGTACATTTTTCGAAATTAACGGAATAACCGAGAGAAATATTCAGCAATACATTTTTTCTACCATTAATTAGGGTGGCATTGATACTGGGAAAACTAATTTACTTTGTTGATTCATTCGTCGAGATAGTAATGAAATCGAAATTCTGATAATTGAAATGAATGGAGAAAATGAAATATCAAATATTTATAAAATATCCATTTTATTACATACGAAGTCCGACACATATCAACCGATAACAATCGATTCAACCAATGGAATGGAGAGAATATGACGCCATTTTGAAGAACTCATTGAGATCTTCAAAATGGCGTATCACAAAGCGCGATGAGACAATCCCATACGAAATTATGATCGAATTAACACAGTCCACCATTTTCCCATTTTCGACCATTTCTTTTTCAAGTGTCTAATTTTGAATAGAATTTTCGGGGGAAACGTCAGCCTGAAATATGGCAACAAGTGGGCAATATCCTTTATTTCCTCGATCAATTCCGGAGGCATCTCGTCCAGATGATGGAGTGAAATATAACTCACCAATTTTTCCTCTAGCCATACACGAGCACAGGAGCACCAGGTAAATGCGTATGATCATCTCGAGTCCTGCAACCACACGACAACATATGCGATCAAACATCTATTTTCCATTAATACCGTGACATTGTACTCTGTGTACTACAGGAGCATTCACTACAATCAAAAACCAGCATTTGCGTGCCAATACACCACCGGATATTGATCGTTTTCCGATCAGCGCAAGACTGCTTCCGAAAAAGTCGACGTAAAGTCAGATAAAAATGGATTTTCACTGAGTGAAAAATTATACAATATCGTCCATCTATTTATATATCTCTGATATATACCAAAAAACATATATCTAATATATTTTTTCACGAAATAAAAACTACAAAGTTCTTTTGAAATTTATAAAAAATCCGAGTTTTCCTGAAAAACCGAATTTACATTGAATTTAATCTCCAATCCAGTCCCGATCGGTTTCAATATCCCAGAGGTCTCCACAATCAAATTACAACCCGTCCTACAATCTCCATTTTCCCAAGGTATTTCAGGGTTTCCCGGAAAAAAAAAATCTGGCACTTGTCGGCCACCGCTTGAGACTGAATCATTCCCATGGGGAAATGTTATTCCACGGTATTCCACCCGTAACCGCCAATGGACATCGGTAACATTGCAATGAAAACCATTGCAAATCCATAACCAAAAGCGGCCGATTTCATGTGGAATTAACGCATCTATTTCCCCTCTAACTGCCCCAACCTCTTCCACCTCTTCCACCCCGTCCACCTTGTCCACCCTGTCCACCCCGTCCACCCTGTCCACCCTGTCCACCTTGTCCACCCTGTCCACCCCGTCCACCTCGTCCACCTCGTCCACCCCAAGTTGTTACAAACTATCAAGGACCGGCACTCGATATTGGCTTATCCAGCGAATACTAGATTTCAACGCCGTATAATAATCATTCCCTCTCCCACACTCCTGGAAAAACCACCATCTTGTTAGATAGTAATATCCCATACACCCCAATCCCACCACCCACCACCCACTGAAACATTAGTAACTGCTACTGTATGATACCGAGAGTAAGAAGTGAGAGTATACCACGGATTTAGATTTCCTTCCGCCGCACCTTGGCAAAACCAAAAGTTTAAACCCCTTTACCAACCCCCTTACCACCCCGTTACCACCCACCGCCTCTTGTCTTCATCTTGGCTTTCTCCCGGTTTCTCCTTCACAGCGACAAGATCTCCGTAAATTTGGAGAATCGAGTTTCCACCCGCGGCTTTTGGACGAACATTAATTCCACCCGGATCCTAAGGGTTTACAAGCCTCTATCTAACCCCCTTCATTTACCCTCCCCTCCTCTTTACACCCCCTACCGGTCCCTTTCACCTTCTGGGGGTTGGGGGGTTGGCGGCCTCTGACTTTGGGTTGAGACGCTACTTTAGTTTCCCCTTGTCGCTTGTTTGGTCTGCGGTGCGTTTCATTATCGCGGGAAAAGGAAACAGGAGTTTATTATTTTCCGTGGAATTTATTCCGGGGATTTTGATAAGTTTGAGTCGAGGAAGGGAAGGGGAAATGGTGATTTGTCGGTAGGCGTTTTTTGGGTTTTAACAATTTTGGGAAAGGTTTTGGAAAATTTGAAAAAGAAAACAACTGTATAATTAAAAGAAAAAATTATATTCGCAAAAATTTCTAAAAAATTATTTAAAAAATTTTCCGAAACAAATTTTTGAAAATTTTTTTTTTTATTTCGAAAAAATATTCCGATTACAATTTTTTTACCCGGTCAGCGAATGATGGAAAATTGACCGTCGATTTTCCGTCATTTTACACTTACCCCCAATTACCCCAATTGACAATTTGTGCGAGGTGATTTTTTGATTTCAATTTTTAATTTGTTTTTAATAAAAAAAATTCAAGATAACGAATATTCAAAAATTGGGGGTGAATTTTCATGGGAAAATGTTCGCACGTGACTAATTACCCACCTAATTACCCCCAAGTTTCCTCCGCATCGTCCTCAGAGGACACCCCCTTCCCGGTAAAATGAGAGGTTTGGATTTAATAATTTTGTCCATACGTAAACAGCATTATCGCAGTGTGAAAATTGCATGAACTTCTGACCCAAGGGTTGACTCTGGAGACTAGCAGGAAGCTCGGGTCACCACCCCCTGGAAAGTTCGTGTGTACAGTATGTTTGACCAGGTTCGAGCCTTGAGCACGCTCCGGTAATAATAAAGAAATTGGGTTGGTGTGAAGAAGAGAATCTAGGATAGGTGGAGAAAGACGAAGTGGATTCCGAGTCACGCCTGTGCGACCCAGTGAGCGCAATACCCTATATTTTTTCGACTCACTTGGTATATAATCTCACGTGGTACGCCTACCGCATGGAAGATAGGTTTGAAAAAAAAAAAAAACCTGGCAGAACCCTGGCAGAACCCTGGCACTCAATTGGCATGCCGATTTTCGAAAATCCATCCACGACCGAATGTCGATCAATCAAGTTAATGATAAAATGATAATAATAGTTTAGAAAAATTGTAAAATAATAATTATGATAGAAAAATAATTATAATACCATGTACTCGATTTTTAATTACCTAGTGAGATGTTAATTTTGCATATTGACAAAGACAAATTCACTTCGATCTTGATTTTATTAATTATTAATAAATGGATTCTTCTATAATATCTATGAGAGCTTGTAGTTAAAGGGAAGTCGTGAATTAAATAAGAATGTAACTTCAAAAATATGAATGAAATCATAAAATGAATGAAATGATGAATGAAATCATAAAAGACTCCAGATAATTTATTTATTTCAACTATTAGAAATAAGTATTGGACAGCTCATGTTCCAGTTGAGGATCGGCAGCAGATACTCGACAAGTTGGCTGCCAGCACTGGCCCAGGACCCGACTTTCCGCCCCCGGATATAAGTCCGCGGATTATCCAATGAGAAGATCGTTATTCCAGATGACCTCCGAGGGACCGATGGTTTTCGGATCAAAAGGTCGACATCCCCTCAGATTCATAACTCGTATTCCAGGTAAAAATCCCTCTCTTGTTTCGCAATCGGAAAATCGTATTGATGAATAGGAGGGAGGGATAGGGATGTTTGAGGTAAAAATAAATGATTTCCACAGCCGATTGGAATGTTCTTGCAGACTCTCGTCTTAGTGGGATGATAAACTCCAACTCGAACGGACTTGGATCTTCGCATCTAGCCTCCACGACGTGCCTCGATATCCCCGTAATTCAACTCCGATGGTGGAATTTGTAAAACTTTATCGAAGGCAACGTATTAGAAGGAATCTTCTTCGGTTCGAGAGAGCGAGAGAGAATTTTTTTTTTCCTTCGAGATGGGATATTCTACCATAAATCCTCTGGGGAATGTGGAGGGTACAGACGAGAGAAACGTCCAAGGAAAAACGAATGAGGGGGATGAGAAAAGGTACAAAATAACGAAAACAAAATACAGGGGAATAAAATACAAAAATGAAGAAATGGTAGATACGGTGAGGAGAAAACCCGAGCGTTGAAACTTGTTCTCTGTCGCCGAGTTTCTCTCCCTCGAGGTACTCTGCCACTGGTCATGACGTGAAAATCCCACGACCACCCAAAAATTTCGAGTTATCTACTCCAGAGTGATAGCAGATATCCATTATATTCATGGAGATCATCATGAATCAGCAGCGGAATGATTAAGTGAGTCGAGGTGAATCGCTCGCTCTTTAAAATCCTAATTCCACCGAAATCTACAGTATTTTGAAGAAATTGTGAAAAGACTTTATCGATCGGAAATTTTACGAGCTACAAAAAAGTCTCCTACCATTTTCCTCCTGGACCAATAGAATTCCAGATAAACTCATTCCTGGAGATATGAGAATCGAAGCAATGACCAATTAAGATCAGCATCATCTCCAGGTGCTGATGACCTGCAGCGAGTCGACTGCTCATTGAAGAGCATCATCCCTGTTATTTCAGTGAGTATCAATTTGTCATTGCCAGACAATCTTTTTGTGAACGAGGAAAGAACGAGGATTTGGCCGAAGGGGCCTCCGCCCGAGGTGATTGATGATCCTGAGTGTCTCGACGACAAATACATTAGATTGAATAAACTGGTTCCCAGTCAAAGTCTATATTAGACTTGGTCCTTCAAACAACACGAGGGATAACAACAAGATCAACAGGGTTGTCACGGTTTAAGTGGTTTAGGGACAGTGCCGGGAGGTATGGAGTGAGTGGAACCAGAGGATTGGAGAAGCTCCATTAGATGACTGTTGGTCAGAGCACGAGGTGATCTGATAGCATTGAATTCCTATTGACTTCCAATTGGTTTTGGCCGACCACTGATTGTTTTCCAACTTCTCGAGGAGCTCTAATACTGTTTGCTGAATAAATTCAGTGATCCGGAGGTAATGATGCACATTGATGTCGAGCCAATGTCTCTCCGAATTATCACGCTATTTCAACAATACCTTTTACCCACCGTAAATCACAAGCGGAGATAAACGACACAACATGAGAAAAAAGGTAATGTTTCTTGTTTTTTCATTGATCGTAACGCGAAAGGGCCGGTGTAGGCTCGTAAAAAGAAGCTGGGGCACGTGGGTATATATCAAAAGGTATAAAACGTGTAAAACGTAAATCTGTCCCGTCACCATCATACCAGGGTAAGTGGCACGAGCAACAAGTAAAAAGAAGAAAAGTGCACACCAACAATATGGGGGAGGGTGATTTAGGGGATGAGCTGTCCCTCATAAAGAATTGTCTTGTTGTTTCAAATTCTTTGAGGCTAACTGATGTACTGTGGCAGCTGACCGTCTCAAACGCTGGATTTGACCATCAATCAGCAGTCGAGAGGTAGATCCAGAGACAGATTATCTGGGTGTTGGGTTTAAGTGCCAGACGCAGAAGACGGATTCATCAACTCAGTGGTGAGACTCGGGGGGGTTTCAATTAAGCAAGGTATACCAATGATTATCAGAGGCGCTTAGGTTGGTGCGAGGCATAGCTCGTTAAAGTCGAGTCAATTGAACCCAGTACACCCCTTGCTCATCAATCCCTGTCTCACTTTG